ATCTACAGAGATGCCGCAGAGGTGAAATGTAGGAGAGATGCTGCAGAGGGAAATCTACAGAAATGCTGCAGAGGTGAAATCTACAGAGATGCTGCAGAGGTGAAATCTACAGAGATGCTGCAGACGTGAAATCTACAGAGGTTTCAAAGGTGAATTTGACAGGCCCTGGCAACAGCTTGGATATGGGGGCGGGGTGAGAGTGAGGAGTCAGGGCTCAGTTTGCCAGTCTGGAAGGCAGGCGCAGGACGGGCAGATCTGAGGATCATGAGCACGGAGGCGGTCATTACATTCATGGGAGTGGTGTAGGGGTAGCAGAGAAGAGGGACTCCCAGGGGCGCTCTGAAAACCTAAAGGGAAGAGCGTCCAAGAGGAGGAAGGGCTGCCTGACCATGTCACCACGAGCTGGGGGGCAGAGTCAGGACTCAAACCCAAGACCTCTGACTCTCAGCCTGGGGCTACTTTTAGCGGACATCAGTACCAAGTGTCCAGTTGGGGAGGGATAGCGGCCTTTTCATCCCTTTAAATGCACCTGACCCTTACCCACTGCGGGCCCCCCAGGGGCCTTCCCGGCTCTTTCCCGGGCCGCGCCATTTCCCAACTCCGGGCCTTTGCTGAGGCCGTGCCCCAAGTCCCGGGGGCCGGCGAGACAGCAGGGGGTGGGGGAGGGGGTATCTGAGTTCTGATCCCGCCTGCGGCCGAGAGGGCCTGGGGCCTCAGTTTCCTCATGGGAAGGCCCGGACGAGGCGCTCGGCCAAGGAGCTCGATCCCGCCCTGCCCTGCCTATCACCATCCCCCCGCCCCCAACCTACCCGGAAGTGCTGGTCGCGGTACTGGCCCAGCTGCACGTAGGAGTCGCTGTCCAGCGCGCTCAAGAGCCCGCCCGACATGGCGGGGGCGCCGGCCCGAGGCGGGGGACGAGCTCCTGAGGAGAAGCCGGGTGGGTGGGGGCAGCCGGGCGGCCGGGCTTCCGGGACGGCCGGAAGCGGAAGCGGCCGCGGCCAATCCGGGGACGCGGCGTGTGCGGCGTCACCAGGCCGCGCCGCGTGACGTCGCCGCGCAGGCGCACACGCTCGTCCTCCCTGTGTCCGCTCCGGGCCGGGCTGGAAGATGGTGCTGCGGCGGCTCCTGCTCTCCCTCATCAACACGCAGCAGCTCGTGGAGCGCCTGGCCGAGTCGCGGCCCATCCGCCGCGCGGCGCAGCTCACGGCCTTCGCGGTGCTGCGGGCGCAGCTCGGGGCCCGGGAGGCCACGCGGAGCCTGCGGGGGCCGGCGGAACGCGCCGCGCGCTTCGGGGCCATCCTCGCCCGGGAGCTCCGCCGGGGCCTGCGGCAGCGGCCGCGGCCGCCAGGGGGCAAGGACGGCCCGGGCCGGAGGCCGGGAGGGTGAGGCCCGCCAGAGGGAGCGCCCTTCCCCTCCGCCCCCGCCGAGCACGGGGGCGCCCCTCCCCCATCGCCCTCTGCCCCCCCATCGCCCTCTGCCCCCTCCTCACCATCGTTTGGCCTCCCCTCCCCCATCGCCGCCGTGCCCCTCGGGGCTGGACGCCTTTGACCTTCAGCCCTGTCCTGGACAGACAGACCGAGGGGGGGAGGGGCGCTGGGGTTGGGGCTCGGCCCTCCCCGGGCATCGGCGCCTTTCACCCCGGAAGACTGTTTCCTTAGCCGTCCAATGTTGGTCCTTGTAAAAGCGCCTGCGGGAGGCCACCCCAGCCGGAGGAATGCGTCCGTCCATCAGCCCGCCTGGTCCGTTCGGGACTTGCAGCCGTGGTGTGAGTTCGCCCCGGAGCAAGTGCCTCGTTTCTCCCTTCGCTGCCCAGGACGCTCAGAGGGGCCGGGGCGAGGCTCAGGGGTTAGGATAGGGGCTGCTGGATCCTCTGGGAATCTCCCTTTCTCAAGTTGGAGTGGATGGCCTTGGCTGTATGAGCAATAAATTACGAATTGTGACCAGGGTTTTGCGTGGCGTTCAAAGAAACCGGACAAAGGCGTGATACACGATAGTAGAGTGAATTTCTTAGCTAGGAAGGGGAAGATCCTGGGTTAAACTCACCCTGATAGTCTGTGTCCTCGTGTGAAAATGAAGAGAATAGTCGTGTTAGCCCCAGCCTCCCAGGTCGGGGTCAGGAAGGTGCTCTGAAAAGCGGAGCACAACTCCTCCATTGGTAATCTGCTTACCTGAGAGCAGGTACAGGGAACCAGAACTCTAGTGTCTTTCCACCTGTCTGCTGGGTAGTTCTCCTTAAGTGTCCTGCTAGAACCTCAAAGTTAGCATAGCCAAAAGGAGCTCCTAACTCAACCACCAGTAACCCAGGCTTGTAAGCTTGGCATTCCTTGCTTTCAACACCGCCTTCTCCCTTGCCCTGTGAATCTGATCAGTTGTTAGGGCCTGTCAGACCTGTGAAGTCTGTGGCATCCACCCATCTGTGACCGACCACTCTTGGTCAGATTGCAGCCATCCTCTGCCTCCTAACTGAACTTCCTGCCTCTAAGCCATTTCCCATTGCAGTCCACCCTCATACTTTGTGTGAGCAGTGGGCCTGGTGTGGAGGGTGAGTCAGCAAAGGAAGGGAAAATCTTTATGCTACTGTGTTCACTGCTCACTGCCCGCCAAATAGACTGATCCTGGCCTTTGAGACTTGCCTATTGGAAACCACTACGTTTGGGATCATATCCAGTCTGTCTATTTCCATGACCTTAATCACATTTTCTGGGCCTCAGGTTCCTCATCTGTTTAAAAAAAAAAAAAAAGTTGAATCAGATGGTTTTTAATGTCCCTTTGAGAGCTAAACACATGATTGGGGACCTTCATTTCCAGCCTCATCCTATTACTTCCCACCAAACTGGTACTTACAATCATCCAGCACTTGCTTCTACCTCCTTATGGTCTTCTTTCTGAAGCTGGCCTAAAAGGGAGATTACTCAAACCACCCCCACCTCTCATTCACATTCCAGAGCATCACCTTTGTCATAGAAATGAGACTTGTCTAGTGGTGTGGCCAGGGATCCCAGGCCCTCTGTTCTCTCTCCCATCTGGTGGGTCTCCCCCTTGGCCTTAATACTTCTCTGCCCTCCTGAGGCTGATCCTAAAACACCAGGTGAGCCCAAGATCCTCACCTGCTCTCGCTGTCCCTGCCCCGTCCTGTTGTCTACATGATTGACCCAGTGCTATGCCACCTTTGCTGAATAATAAATGTTGGGTCAGTCAACTCTTCCCTCTCTGTACCTGCAATATGTGATTGGTTGCCAGGTCTTGTAGATTAGACCTCCATAACTCAGCTGACACCCTCCACCCCTTGCATCCAATAATCGGCCATCACCCCACTTCAGGCCTGTCACTTCTGTTACCTTATACCAGCCACCTGATGGGCCTGCCTGCTTCTAATCTCTCCTGTACAGCCACCAAAATAATCCCCCCAAATCTCGGGTTTGACCAGGTTATTCCTCATTAATCCCCAGTGATTCCCCCTGCCTTTAGGATGAAAAGCAAACTAGTTGGCATTTAAAGCTTTTCACAGTCTTGCTACAGAATCTCACAACTGACTTTAATAGGTGGGCTCCATCACGCTACATCTGGCTCAGCAGGACACCTGCTGTTCAGTCGATCCATAAGAGCTCATGAGGTTACAGACAGAGGGGAGAAGGCTACAGTTGAACCTTGGGATACACCCTGAGTTAGAGGGTGATATACGGGAGAGGCCAGCCACTCACGAGGAGACTGAGGCAAGAGCAGGGTCATGAAAATCCAGAGCAGGAGCAGGGGGTGGACACCAATGTCCAAGTTGCAGATTGCCTGAATGATGGTGATCTTTGTGGACTAATTGGTGGAACAGCCTCAGCAAGAAAGGCCATTGCATTGTGCCACCCAAGTGGCATCTCCCATGTCTTTGCAGAGACTGCTTCTACTGGAGAACCAGTATCAGCATTGGGAGCCCCTCAGCGACTGTCTCAAAGACGTGTTTGTGCCCCATCTTCTAGAGAAAGTGTCTATGACTCCAGCAAGGTTTGGCCGCCATCACTCCCCTCCTCAGCTGGTCTCGTTGTTACCTCCAGCTAATGACAAATACGGGTTCTGGTGTTTGGAACCCTTCACAACCTGACCAGCCCACCTCTTTTCAGGCTTGTAGGTGGGACTTCCCTTCCCTGGCTCTAAGGGCCAGCTAGATGGGCCTCCTGGTGGTTGCTCACACACAGCAGTCCATCTCTAGAATCCAAGCATTTGTTTAGGCTACCCCATGCCTGGATCGAGCTCCCTCCTGTTCTCCTCTGCCCTTGGAGTCCCTAGACTTCTCCAAAGCACAGTACAAAGGCCACCTTCCTAATGCCTGCCCCTCCCCTGTTGCCTCATTTTTATTGGGCAGATGCTTGTGTATGGAAGTATTGACTTTTCTGAGAGAATGGATGCTCGTTGAAGGCAGGGCCTGTTTGCTTTAGTCGTCGGCTCTCCAGCACATAGCAACCTGCTCTTATATTTAAGAGGGACCTAATAAATGCTTGGTGCTGGATTGGCTTTAAAAGACAAAAGCAAGACAGACCCTGCCTTCTAGGAGTCTACGTTCTCCTGGGGGGTGCGACGTGTGCGGAGATAAATACAAATTATGTAGAAAATTAATACAAAGTAATGAGTAGGGGGCAGGGGAGAGGGAGTGGGAGAATCAGAATGAACCTAGAAAGTGAGTGACTCAAGAGAACCGGGGACTGAGGGGTGGGGAGGTGGGAGGATGTCTTGTCCTGTGCAAGACAGCAAGTGAGACCAGTGTGGCTGAAACAAGGAGTGTGTGAGGAAGGGGAATGTGCAGTCCAGAAAGGTGAGGCCGGAGGAGAAGGCCTTTGAGCTGGGGACTGGCTGGCCCCGTGCATTACATACACACAGTTCATGCAGATGGTACACGTTCATGTATGTATGCATGCACAGGTCACACAGATGTGTGCGCACACACAAACATGCTCCGCAGTCGCCTCAATTTTTGTTCTGCCTTGAGTTCAACGCATAATAAATGTTAAGTAATAATAATGAATAATACTAGCTATCACTTACATAGTGCTTTAAGGTTGCTAAGGCATTACATGTGCTGCATCAGTTGGTCCTCATAACAACTCTGGGTGTTATTTCCATTTTACAAGCAAGGAAACTGAGTCTGGGAGACTTGCCTGGGGTCACCGAGCTAATAAGTGGGCCTCTGCAGGAATTGAGCCCAGGTCTTCCTCTCTGACTTCCAAGGCCAGGGCTCTACTCACTCCCACCCTCTGCCTCGATGGAAGAGCAAATACAATAAGACAGATGGTGCTTTGCAGAACTTAAAAAAACTCCCCAAATGATGCCTTTTTTTTTTTTTTTGGTGAGGTAGTTGGGGTTAAGTGACTTGCCCAGGGTCACACAGCTAGTAAGTGTCAAGTGTCTGAGGCCAGATTTGAATGCTTGTCCTCCTGACTCCAAGGTTGGTGCTCTGTCCACCTAGCTGCCCCAGTGAAGCCCCTTCTTGCCGCTGCTGCTGCTGCTGTCATGGTCTCTATTTCTAAAGGTTGAGCGAGCTGTTTCTGCAGCCCCATTGCCCTCCACGGTTCACCGGCCAAAGCTAGTTCTCCAGTCTGGGCCGGAGGCAGGGTCTGAGCTGGGGAGGGGCACGGCACCTGCAGGAGAAGCTGATGCCACCACCACTTCGGGCTCTGGCCAGCGCGTGGCCACCAGGGCTTTGTCTCTGGGCGCTGGGAGGCAGCCCTTCCTCTCTGCAGTGTCTGCCAGGCTTTGTAGATGGTCCTCTGGTACCTCGATTGCCACAAGCACCCGTACATGTGTACGTACACATATGCAACATATGCAGCATACACATGTGCACACATCATGCATGTGTACACACAGACACAGCCCATCTCCCGGTCCTGGGCTGCCTTTTGCATAGGATTTCGTTGCCCTCAGACCTCTCCTTCGAGGCCCACCTTCCCGTGCTCCTTATCGTGGTGGTGACGACTGCCTGCCCATGCGTGACCTTCCCCCGTGAGCCCGCTGGAGGCAGGACACCCACCCGAGATCAGCAGTGGCATCGGTGGAGGTGGCACTGCCTGGGTGTCCCAGGCAGTCTCTAAAGGGCTTGGATTGCTCACTATGGCTTGGCTCACCTGGGTAGAACAGGGGATGGGGGCCAAACCAGGAGGAAGCTCAGGCCTCAGCCCATGGTCACCTTGCCCGGACTCTTTTCTTGTGTCTTCCAGACTGTTCAGGTCAGCTCCTTCTTGAGATGGGGCAACAGAAGCAAAGTTCCCATTTCAGAATGGCAAAAGCAGTGGGGCAGAGGCTGCCTGGCCACCTCTGGTCACACGAGGTACATGGTACTTGAGTACAAATGCAGACTCCCTCTGGAGGCAGAACAGTGTGCTGGAAAGAGGACTGGAAGGAGGAGAGTCTGGGGACCTGGAACTGGATCCCTTGGGGCCCTCGGTTTCCTCCTCTGTGAAGATGAATGGGGTGGGACTTTAAAAGGATCTCTAAGCTCCTCCCACCTCTGGTTGTGACAATCTTTGCCTTGGCAAGTCTGCCTGGGGGTGAGGGGGCAGGGTCTACTTGAGTCAAGAGAAGTTTGAGAAAGCCTGAGGGAGCCTGGGAGAGGTCCCAGGGCAGGGGGTGGGGGTGGGGGTGGGAGGGGCATGATGGACAAGAGGAATTCCCTCCCCCACTCCTTCTGGTCATCTCTGGGTCCTCTCCAGGAATACAGATCCCAACTCAGCATCCAAGAGAGGGGCCCTTTTCCTCCTGAGCCAAATACTTGGACCAGCACCAGGGGCTCTTGAGGGCAGGAGAGGCAGCTCACTCTACCTGCTGGCTCCGGCAATCTCTGCTTTCACTTGGTTCAGTAAAACTCGCCAGCCCAGTCAAGTGGAGCAGAGAACAGGCATTCCCTCCTGCCTTTGATTCCCAGACAACTATGTTCTGGCAAGCCTAGAGTTTTGGGTCTTAATTACGTGTCCAGGGTGTGTGAGCTGGGTTGGAAAGGTTGTTATGATTTCCTTCTACGGGTTCAGTGACACGAGACTTCGTTATTATCCAAAGAAATTCACATTTAATGAACATGGACCATGACCTTCCAGTCTTACTGGGGGAGAGAAGCAGGGAAGGGTGCTGGTAAGGAGGATAATACGTGGAACAAATCCGAAGTGCTTTGGATAAAGAGAACAGCATTTTTGCCAAGGAGGAAGGGCAGAGCAGGGAAGGCTTAATGGAAGGGGGGCACCATACCTGGCCCTAGAGAAGAAAGAAAAGGGTTCTAGAAGAGGCAGATGAGAGGGGAGGGAGTGCTCGGCATGGGGAAGCAGAACTGAGGCATGGAGAGGCCATTGACCTTTCCTGAGAGGCCAATCCCATCCCAACCAGGGCATAAGCGAGGGAGCCACCACCCGAACAACATTCCACTCACCCTCCACTGGGGGGGGGCGAAGAGGAGGGGACTCCCTCTACAACATCACCCAATCTCTGCTTGACAGAGGTGAGGCCTTCCTCCAGGCTCTGGTCGGATCTCCTTTGGAGGGTATTCTGGGCACCCCACTTCTCTGAGAGGGTCACTCCCAAACCACAGACATCCCGAGGAGGGGGAGCCTTGTAGAAACCATGTTGTATGAGGAAGGTTTGAAAGAACTGGGCATATCTGGCCTGAAGAATGAAAGATTTACAGGAGACATCCATCATTCTTAAAGTACTTGGAGAGGCTTCATGCGCAGAAGGGATTACACATGTTCTGATCAGCACAGGGCGGGGGGGGGGGGGTTGACACGAAGGTGGAAGTTATAGGAAGGCAGGTCTCAGCTCTATATAAGAAAGGACTTCCCAGCAGTGAGGGTGTCCAACAGAATGAGCTTCCATGTGAAGCAGTGAAGGCCCCGTCATGGAGGTGTTCAAGAAAAGGTTGAAGGTGTTGTCAAGGGGACTAGGTGACCCCAGAGGTCAGTGACTCTTGAGTCTGTTGGTTGTAATTCACCATCAGGGGCAGGAAGCTGAATGCCTCACAAAGCTGCCCGTCCCGTTTTTGCACATCTAGACAGGTAGATGGATGGATGGATATAGATGGACAGACACGAATGGATGGATGTAGATAGCACAGACAAAGCATTTATTAAGCACTTACTATGTACTAGGCACTACCCTCTAATTAAGAGAAAGGTCTTATTGGGCAATTCACTTCGCCCCTTTGGCATCAGATTCCTCATATGCAACAGGAGGACTAGTTGGACAGGGGCCCCCCTTCCCCTCTTCCATCCGGGGATTCTGTTGAGGTGAAATCTCCCTCCATGAAATTTCCACTGTTTGGTGTCTGTTCTTCCCGCCGAGCCACTCCTTTCCCCAAATGAAGAAAGCCCTTTAAATACATGCAGTAATCATGACCTCTCAGTCCCCGGCCCCACTCTCTCTCCCTTACCCTCCTTACCCTGGCACTGCCTCACCTCCCAGATATTTGTTCAGGCTCAACATTCTAAGCTTCTTCAGTTTAATCTCGCATCCCCTCACCGCCCCGGGCACCCTCCTCAGGGCAAGCTTCAAGTGGTCCATGTCTCTCCTGACAGTGGCACCCAGAATGGAACCCCACCGGGAGAGGTCTCGGGGGTGCGGCCCGTGGCCAGGGGGCAAAGCTTGGCCAGCAGAGTCATCTTTGGCTTGGTTTGGCCTATGACTGGGACGGACGCCTGCTTTGGTCATCCAGGTCGTGGGTGCCGGTAAGTCTGCCTGCCAGTCCCCAGGAACTTGTCCGGTCTTATTAAACAAAGGAACTTCGCGGAGGGCGGGGGGCGCAAGATGTGGGCGGGGCCCTGCCCCCTTTTCGGGAGGTTCATTGTCTCCTCCGCTCGCCCACTTCCAGGATGTAGAGGCCAAGGGAGTCCCTCCAGCGTCTGCTCAGCAGGGCAGAGAGCCCAGGCGGGTCCTCCAGAGTCAAGTGGGGAAACACCCGGGTCTCGTTCCTCAGGGAGAAGGGGCAGGCGGCCGCAGCCTCCCTGGCTGTCCCAGGGGTCACAACAAAGATCCGGCAGAGCCGATCGCCCCCAGCGGTGTTGCAGACGGGATGGCTGGCGAGCTGGTCGAGGGTCTGGCAAAGGGCCCGGCTCTCGGCCCCGCCCAGGTCAATGACCTCCACGGGCGGCTCTGGCCCTCGCAGGCGGAGGAGGTAGCGCGGCGGCATGTAGGTGTGGGTGAAGAGCAGGGTGTAGTGGGAGGGCTGCCCTTCGGGAGCCGGGGCGTGGATGCTGTTCTCTAGACGGGACAGGCAAGGGACCAGGCCACCCTGATGAAGGCAGCCAAAGAACAGGGCCCCGAGGACGTTGAAGAGAGTGACCGAGGCGATTCTCCACGGGGCCACCCCCTGGCCCTTCTGGCTGCTGAACAGGGTCAGGGGTCCTAGGAGGGGGACCAAGAACCGAGGCTCCTGATGGCTGAAGAGGGAGAGCAGAGCCAGGGGAAAGAAGTAGAAGAGAAGGAGGACCGTCTTCCTGGCCGGACGGGTCCAGGGAGCCTGGCGCTGAGCCACGGAGGCCAGGCTTTCCTTCAGCACTTTCCACGCGCCCATCACTGCTGCGGCGTGCAGGACCCCGAAGAGCAGGACCCCGTTGACGGCCAAGTGAGTGAGGCGGGGGTGCGTGCCGTGCTGGGCCAGGTTCTGGGGGTCCAGGTTGTAGCTGAGGAAGTGGGCGGGAGTCAGGATGAGGCGGGGGCCCAGCCCCAGTCGCGAGGAGTAGTACCACGTATCGGCAGCCACGAACAGGGAAGCCACTAGCATGGCCCCGGGGAGCAGCTCCAGCATTCTCTGGACCAGGGCCCTCATGCTGAGAGGCACCACCGTGGTGCAGCCGCTGGACCAGAAGAGCAGCGGCAGGAGGGCGAACCCCAGGAACGTGGGCCGGTTGAAGAACCCTGCGGCCACCACGGCGCCCAGGAGCCAGCTGTGTCCCCCACGCCACGGACTCAGCTTCCCGTGGGTGCCCGGAGAGACCAGCACCAACAGCCACATGAACAGAAGCCCCTCCAAGGCATTGGCCAGGGTCCTCGTGTAGAAGACCAGGGTGACATAGGAACCGGCCAGCAGGAGCAGGGCGTTCCAGGGATCAGCTCCCCAGAGTGGGGCCACCCGGTAGATGCCCCAGTCCAGAGCAAAGGAGAGGGCTGTGAAGACCAGGCGGGGCCCCACCAGGAGAGTGTAGCTGCTGATGGCACCTGGCCAGAGGTCCAGCCTGTCCAATAACTCCATCAACCAGAACACAGAGCCAGTGGTCAGCAGTGGGAAGAGGACTGTCCGGCAGGGTGAGCTGGGGAGGAATTCCCAGGGGCGGTAGACCTCCAGGCCCAGGACATCTTCTAGCAAAGGAAAGAGAGGCAAGAGGTGATTGGAGTAAAGAAGACCCAGAGCAAATACCAGGGAGGCCTGGGTTCAAATCCTGCCTTTATGGGAGGAGACCTAGCTCTGTCTATGGAGGAGGAGAGGGGCTGTTATAGCAGGAACAGGAAAGGGGGTGTTAAGAAGGAGCCCCTGGCAGGTCCATCGCTCCCAGGTGATCCCAGGCCCCCCTTCCTTGAGGCCTGCCTTCCTCTCCAGGCCCTCCCTCACCTCGACCTGGGGGTGTGCTGGGTCTCTCCTCCCTCTTGTGCCGCTGGCTCGGCTGGTGACAAAACCCCTTCTTTCTCTGAGGTCACTTGAGACCTCAGTTGAGTCTTGCAAACAAGGTTTCAGAAACCCCATTCAATGCAATAACTATTTTGGTCCCAGAGGACCGGGGACAAAATGCACCTCCCTCCTCCCCAAGGAAGGTGACCTCTGGCTCAGTCACTGAGCCCGCTTATTTTTCCTTGCTATAAAGAAGGTTTCAGTGAAAGGGTCAGGGGGTCAGGAAGAAAAGGCAGTGATAACGCATTGTTCAAGGAGTTTCCTGAAAACAAAACTCAGAGCAAACACAAAAGACAGTCAATTCTGGGTCCAGATGCCCGATGTGGGCATGTGCCTCCTTTTAGTGGACAGCTCCTCTCGTGGACCCTGGGGAACAATCACTGGGGGGACTGGACCAGTTTCATTGGTTTTAGCCACTCCCGGGGAGGGAGATCCCTCCACCAATACATACATGCCCTCTTTCAGTAACTTCAGGTCTGCAAGAGTCGCCTGGGGTTTACCTCAGAGGGCGCATCATTACCTTATATTTACTGGGTATAGATTTTGTACAAACTAATTCATTTACGCGTTGTTTTCCTCCATCAAGTGAGACAATAGTTGTAAACCGCTTAGCACAGTGCCTGGCACACAGCAGGTGCTTAATAAAGATGCATGTTCCCTTGTCCCTTTCCCTTCCTTGACAGATGTAAGCTTCTCAAGGGCAGCGTCCCCAGTACCCAGCAATGTCTGGCACACCATCGGCAGCAAATAAATGAATCATCATAAATAACAGTAGCAGACATTTCCAGAGCACATTATGCCCCTGCCCTCGAGGGGCTTCTGTTCCTGCAGGGGAGTCCACACGTCTGTCTAGAAGGAGGATATAATGAATGTGAGGGGTGGGGGCTGGGCCAGAGTCATTGGTCAGGTCTGGCCTTCGCCCCATTCCAGCTGTTTGCTCTGGCTGGTCACCAAAAGGCCGCCTTTCGCTCTAGCCAAGTGGGTGTGGGGCCCTGCTCCCACATCAGTTTGGAAAGTCTTTTTTTCTCCTAGTAGCCATTGGCAAGAAACCAGGAGCCAGAAGGATCCTGGATGCTGTGGCCCAGAAAGATGGAGGACAGAGTCACCCATCTTCACTGCAGATGTTTAGGAATCATGAAAAGCCAGTGGTGGGAGCTCAGAGGCCCGCCTGGGACCCTGGCCAGCTCTGACTCAGCCGAGGCCCGAGGATTCAGGCTGCCTCCTGCACAGCCGGGTCAATAGGCCAGTTTCTTTCCATACCCTGAGTGCCCTGGAGGCACAGAACCCTGGGAGAGGGTGTAGACGTGGGACCCTGCACAAGACTCTTTCCCTCCCATAGCCTGGAATTTCCTCATCTGTAAAAGGAGAGGGAGAGTCTTTGGGGGACCCAGTTAACCCCACTGGTACTTGCTATTCCTCAATACAACTGCAACATCTCCCATCTCCAGGCATTTGCCCGGGCCATCCCCCAGGCTCACACCTTGCCCTCTGAAGGAGGCCTCTCCTTGTTACTGCAGGTTCCTAACGCTGTTTGGCCACGGCCTCTTTGGGACCACAGCTTGATGAAACCTCTGGGCCCCTTGTCAGAGTCAGGTTCATCGGCTAAATTCAGAATGGAAAGAACTGCTCCGTTTCAGTTACAGGGTACTGACAACAAAGACGTACTCGCTTTTTCCTCTCCAAGTTCTCAGACCCTCTCAAGTCCATCCACAGAGCCTGTGGAGCCCACGGCCTGGGGCTCGATCCTGGTCTTCCCTTCTACGGACACGTACAGCCCTTGGACAGGCTGTCTCCCTCATTACACTGGACGCCTCAGGAGCTTTGTAGCCAGCACTCCACACAGTGTCTGGTATACAGTAAGCACCTAATAAATGTTTGCTGACTGCGTGACTGATGATGATCCCATTGATAGGTTCTTTGAGGTCACTTGGTCTAATCCTCCCATTTGGAGACGTGCCTACTGGTCGGTGACACAAACTCAGGCCTCCTGAGGCCAGTGAGAGCCCAGGAGATGCCCTCGACCGCCCTTCCCTCACTGTCAGGACCATGTCTGGATGCTTCTGCTTGAGGGACAGCTGAGAGCCTGGGCTGCATGAGCTCTGGTCACACATGTCCATGTATGTGTCCTTCATGCACAAGCCCTAGTCATGTGTGTCCACATGTGTGCACCTCCATTCATGCGACCACATGAGCTCTGGTCACACGTGTCCACATGTGTGCCTCTTTATGCATGATCCCTGGTCATGTGTGTCCACGTGTGTGCCCCTCCATTCATGTGACCACAGAGTTCTGGTCACACATGTCCACATGTGTGCCTCTTTGTGCATGAGCCCTGGTCATGTGTGTCCACATGTGCAGGTATGCCTTCATGCATGTGACCACACAAGCCCTGGACACACATGTCCACACGTGCATCTCTTTTTGCATAAGCCCTGGTCATGTGTGTCCACATGTGTGCCCCTACATTCATGCGACCACACGAGCTCTGGTCACACGTGTCCACATGTGTGCCTCTTTATGCATGAGCCCTGGTCATGTGTGTCCATGCGTGTGTGTGTGTGTGATGCCCCTCCATGCAGGTAACCACACGAACCCTGGTCGTGTATGTCCACGCATGTGGGAAGTGCCCATCCATGCACTGACTACATGAGCTCTGGTCACACATGTCCACATGCATGTGTGTGGGTGCCCCTCCATGTGTGTGACATGAACCCTAGTTTACACATGTCCACACGTGTGTTTGGGTGTCCCTCCATATGTATGACCTGGGTTGTATCCCCCCATTCGGAGCTCGGTTTGAAGGCACCTCCTTCAAGAAACCTCTCCCAATTCCTCTCTCTCACCAAATGACTTTGTGGTTTTGGATCTAGCCTTTACCTACATATCTGTAACATGCTGAAGGGAAGCTCTCCAAGGGCAGAGATGATATTTTTGGTTGGTTTTTGTCTTTGTGTGTGCAGCACATAGTAGGAACTTTAAAAATGATTGCTGAGAGAGTGATGTGTAACTCCCACATATGATCCTCATCTGTGGCTACCCTCTCCACTGATGGCGTTTGAATCGATGGCAAAGTGTGGCCCAGACTTGCTATGCAATAGCATGAAATTTCTTTGCTCTGAATAGGAGAGCAAGGAATAGCTTACCTGTCAGATCTATGGAGAAGGGAAGAATTTATGACCAAACAAGAGATAGAGAACATCAAGAAATGCAAAATGGATGATTTCGAAAGTTTTTGCACAAAGCCAACGCGACTAAGATTAGAAGGGAAGCAGAAAGCTGGGAAACATTTTTTACAGCCAGTGTCTCTGATAAAGGCCTCATTTCTAAAATATGTAGAGAATTAAGTCAAATTTATAAGAATACAAGTCATTCCCCAATTGACAAATGGTCAAAGGATATGAACAGGCAGTTCTCAGATGAAGAAATTAAAGCCATCTATAGTCATATGAAGAAATGCTCTAAATCACTATTGATTAGAGAAATGCAAATCAAAACAATTCTGAGGTACCACATCACACCTATCAGATTGGCCAACATGACAAAGCAGGAAAATGATAAATGTTGGAGAAAATGTGGGAAAATTGGAACACTAATGCATTGTTGGTGGAGTTGTGAACTGACCCAACCTTTCTGGAGAGCAAATTGGAACAATGCCCAAAGGGCTATAAAACTGTGCATACCCTTTGATCCAGCAATAGCACTTCTAGGGCTGTATCCCAAAGAGATTATACAAATGGGAAAAGGACCTACGTGTCCAAAAACATAGCAGCTCTTTTTGTGGCGGCAAAGAATTGGAAACTGAGGAGATGCTCATCAATTGGAAAATGGCTGAACAAGTTGCAGTATATGAATGTGATGGAACACTATTGTGCTATAAGAAATGATGAACAGGCTGACATCAGAAAAACCTGGAAAGACTTGTGTGGTCTGATGCTGAGTGAAGTGAGCAGAAGCAGGAGAACGTTGTACACAGTAGCAGCCATGTTATGTGATGACTGACTTTGATAGACTTGGCCCTTCTCAGCGTGCAAGGATCTAAGACATCTCCAAAGGCCTCGTGATAGAAAGTGCTACCCACATCCAGAGAAAGAACCATGGAGTCTGAATGCAGATGGAAGCAGACTGTTTGCTCTCTTTTGTTGTTGCGGTTTGGTTTTGTTTTGTTTCTTCTTTCTTGTGGTTCCCCTCCATTAGTTCTAATTCTTCTTTACCTCATGACTAACGTGAAAATGTATTTAATATGAATCTGTAAGTAGAGTCTATATCAAATTGTATGCCATTTGGGGGAGGGAGGAGGAGGGGAGAAAATTTAAAACTCAAAATCTTATGAAAGTGAATGTTGAAAACTAAAAATAAATAAATAGTTATTTTAAAAAATTCCTTTGCTCTGAATTAAATGTGCCTTCCGGCTGACTGGTAAAAGGAAACACTCCCACTCCGGAAGGGTTTCGTGTACTATGGTTTTTGAATGAGTATGGACTCACAGAGGGCCTTGAACCCAGGATTTCTTCAGCATTTCATGAATGCTCCTTGTTTGCTTGCTTGATTATTTTTTTAAAACATCAACAAAATTGTTTGTTTTTTTTTAGCAACAGAGAGGGAAAAAAAAAAAATGATCAGCCCCTTTAGGGCAAGGGATTTTACCTGCCATGACCTCGGGGGACTGAAAGAACTCATCGGGATGCAGATAACCGGTCTGCGGCAGAAGGCACCAGGCAATGCGCAGGAGGCCGAGGCTTCCCCAGAGCACCTGGGCGGCCCACATCCCCAGCACCTCCGGACACAGAAGAGCAGAGACGAGCCAGGCCGGGCCGGCTCTCCGTCTGGGGACCTGAATGGAGAGCGAATTAAAAAGTGAAAAAGAACTCCGTCTCTCTCCATGACGTTACAGATGAGGCGCACGTCTTCCCATAGCCCTTGGGACCTCTCCCTCCGTCACTGGGCGACTCACGCGTGTGTCATCCGTGGGGGAGAAGATCCCTCTGGCTGCTGGAGAAGCTGGACCAGGAGGGTGTGTGGGAAGGCTAGCCTGGGCCGGCCTTCGGGCACCCTGGGGCTCTGGGACCCCCCCAGGCTCTCTCATCTGCTAACGGCCAGACTGGGATTCTTCGTGTCTGTGAGCCTTCGCCTCTCACTTCCTCCGTGGACACTCTTGACGCAGCTCCCCTCCGAGGACGGGGGGGGGGGGGGGGCGGTGCCCACGCCTCCTTCCCCGCCTCTCCAGCTCCCTGTGACCTCGGGAAGGTGTTTCACTTTCTGGTCCCTAACTACTCACCCGGGAAAAGATGGGGCTGGATTAGACCTGAGGTCTCTTTCTGCTGCCGCCTCCCACCGGCTAACCCCGTCCTTGACTGTCCAGACCCACACCCCTTCCCTGCCCAACCGGCCTCTTTCTCTGGGCTCAGATTTTAACCCTGTGGTCCCTTGTCTGGGATTCTGCATCGTCGCCTACACTCCCCCCGATATCCCTCCCCTCCTCTCCCAGACAGCCAGCCCTTGGCGCAAAGAACACTTAGGGAAACTGTTCTTAATTTGTCAAAGCAAAGGGATAACTTTCGTCTTTTAAGATTCTAATGCAGTTTTTTTAAATGCAGATGCCAACCATTTCCAAATGATTTTGAAGGGCTCTATGCCCAGAGTCATTTCCCTTGGGCATCTACTCCACATGTGAATATGGACTCCTTGGAACCTCGGTTTCTCATCTACATAATGAATCTGTTTGTTTGTATAATCTGTATAATGAATCTGAGCGATTCTTTGGACCATATGTGTGACAGTCTAGACACAGCCCAATTCAAGTCAACTCCCCCAACAATGATCATGGAGAGGCCTGGTGACACCCTGGACTGGGGGTTGGGGCTATAGAAATTTAAATACAGAGAAGTAAAGTTCTAGGTAGGGAAGCAGAGGTCAGACCATGCGAAGGAGAAAAACCCTGGAAGTTAGAAAGAAGGCTTCCCAGAGGAGGTGGTTACTGAGCTGAGCCTTGAAGGAAAAGGAGGCTTCTGAAGGAGGGAGGTGATGAAGTGATGGCATGCTAGGCATGGGGGACAGCCTGGGCAAAGGTGTGGAGGAGGGAGGGGGAACACTGCCAGGGTCAGGGAAGGACTGCAGGGGGTCCTGCTGAGTTGGATGCAGATGCAGTTGTGAGATGAAGCTGGAGCCAGCTCTTGGGGCCTTAAATGCCAGGCTGAGAAGCCCCTTTGGGGGAAGGGATGGTCAGATCCTGTGGATGCCTACATGGGGTCCAGGGAGGCACCTCTCTAAGGACTGGTGAAGGGGAAGACCTGAGCATGGGGATTTAGGGCCAGGGACTTGGGGCTGGAAGGGCTTGCCCCTCATTTTAGAGTTGAGGAAACTGAGGCCCAAAGAAAGAAAGTAACTGACCAGGACTCAAACCCCCCTCCACCACTGTGGGTCAGGATCTGACACTCAGAGATCAAGAGACTTACCCAAGATCACGCAGCATCAAGGGCACTGCTCCCTGCCCCACGCTAGGCTTCCAGCTTGTTTCTGAGCTGGGTTCTAGCACCTTCTGGTCCTAGTGGCTTCCTGGCCTTCTCTTGGGGGTTTGGGAAACCAGCAGCTTCACCCTGGTTAGCCCTGATTATGCCAGGAGAGGTGGGGAGGGAGCATCCCAGAAAAAAAAAAAAAAAAAAAGGCTCGTAGCCGCGCAGAAGGGCAGCTAGGTGGCGCGGCTGCTATTTGTGAGTTCAAATCACGCCCCAGACACTAGCTGTGTTACCCTGGGCGAGTCACCTCCCCCTGTTTGCCTCAGTTTCCTCAACTGTAAAATGAGCGACTTGGCGTCTGAGATCCTCTCTAGCTCTAAATCTCTGACTGGCTGAAATGTGACCGATGTTGGTGTTTATTAAGGAGCCCTGTGCCCAGTCTCGCCATTCTCACCGTATTAATTAATTAATTAATTAATTAATCTGCAAGCGTTTCTTCAATAAGGCCAGGCACCCCCGGTAGGGCCGGGCGTTGCAGAGAAGTTCCTGCCCTCCTGCCCAGGAGAAGAAGCACAGGATTTGAAGTCGGCGGACCTGGTTTGGCATCCCAGCTCTGCCGGCTACCTGTTTGCCCTCTCCCTCGGGGACTGGTTTCCCATCTGCAAAAGGAAGGCATGATCGTGGAGGTTCCTTGTGAATTCCACGCAGCAAGTGTTCATTTATTGAGGCCTACACCGGGGCAGGCGGTGGGGATTCCCCGGTACGGCCGCCTGCCCTCAGGGAGCTTCCAGTCCAACCCACACATCGGGGGAGTCCGGGACTTGCCCCTCCCGCCAGGCAGGGACAGGAGGGGCGGGCCCAGATCGAAGGGGCGGGGTAGCCACTCACCGTTACCCAATCACAGCTTTGCCACGCCCATTTCATGCAAACGAGAGATTGCGGGTGGGGGGCGGCCCTCGCTCGGGGAGACCTTTTCCTCCCACAACGTCGTCGCGGCCTAATGGGTGGGAGCGGAGGAGACGGTTAAGAAAACGTGCCAGTCCTCCCGGGCCACCCAGAGGAGGCGGGGGGAGGGAGGGCGGGTAACCATAGAAACCGCTGCCGCGAGCCCCGAGCGCGCACCTGCGTCAGCGGGGCGGGTGGGGGAGCGAGGAGGGGAGCCCGATGTCTGGAGTCTGCGCAGTGCGTCCCCAAGCATTCTCCCAGCGCCCAGCCCGGGCATCCCAGGGTCATTTTTTTTCCAGCCCAAGGAATTCCTAACTGCAGACCCCGCTCTCCCCCCCAAACTGTGGAGTAGCAGCTGATTAGAGCTTGGGTTGGAACTGAAATGGGCTTTAGGCGTCCGCTGGACCAAGCCCCCTAATTTTACAGGTGGGGACACTGAGGCAGGCAGTGTGATCCACTAGGTCAGAGGATTCGCCACTTGCTACTTCTGTGACCTTGGGCAAGCCCCTCTACGCTCTGGGCCTCAGTTTCCTTTTTTTGTAACCTGTGGGTGTCTTCCTCAGTGGAGGGCTGTGAGTGTGGAATGTTGCAAGTGTAGCCAGATGGTGTCACAGTGTGTGTTAATTTTGCAGAACTTTTCCTTGGTGATGGAAAGGCTGGGAGGGGTGCGGGAAAGTGGCATGTCCAGAAGTGACTGTGATGGGGAAACATTTCCCTGTACAGTGACGGGGTTGGCTTGGATGATCTCCGGAGTCCCCATTCTCCGGGGTGAGACTGGAGGACTGAGCCCGAGCATACTGCCTCCACACCCCCGGGGTCCTTGGACACGTTCAGCGGCAGCAGGATGTAGGGAATGGCTTGGACTGGGAGTCTGTGACGCCTCTGTGGGACTCTGGGTAAAACTGGGGGGAAGGATGGGCTTGGGCTTGGAGCTGGTCTGCATGTGCTCTGGGTGGGGCCTTGGGCAGACCGTTCAGTATCTCCTCTGTAAAATGAAAGGGTCGGGCGAGATGCTTCCTGAGGACCTTGCCTCTTACAGAGGTCCTGCCATGTGAGCTTCTTCTCCCCTTCTCTTCATCTCAGACCCCTGGATAGCTTCTACTCTTCCCTTCTTTCCCCGTCTCTGACAGAGGCAGCCGTTATCCTTGCTAAAGCCAGCCTTTCCACGTGTGCCCTCCAGCTCCCTCCAGCAGATGCCCCCTTGATCATCCCCTCCCTCTCTATCTTTTCCCAGTCTACTGGCTCCTTCCTACTGCCTTCAAACGTGCTCCAGACTTGCCCAACCTTAAAAAACTATCAATAGACCCTCCTCGATAGACCCTTTATCAACAGATCCTCCCATCTCCTCAAGCTTTCATTCTGTATGTCTCCAAGCCAAACTCTTTGAAAAAGCTAAATCCGATCCCTGCCTTCTGGTCCTCCCTTCTCACTCCTCACCTTTGCAGTCTGGTTTCTGACCTAACCCTTCAACTGAAACTGCCGCCTCCAAAATGACCGATGGTTTCTTAATTGCCAAATTGGATAGACTCTTCCCGGTGCTCATCCTTCCCAGCCTCTGCTGCATTTGACACGGTTGATTCCCCCACCTCCCAAAGGGTCTCTCTTTGTCTCTGGCTCTGCATGGCCCTGTGGCCCTTCCCCCTCTGACGGCTTCTCACTCTCCTTTGCAGGCTTATCATCTAGATCACAGCCCCTAATTGTGGTTTTTTCCAAGGGTCTGGCCTAGGCCCTCTTCTCCTCTCCCTCTGCACACTCTTGCTGATCTCATCAGCTTCCATGGGTTTAGGTATCACCTCTGTGCAGATGACCCCCAGATCTGTAGACCCAGTCTCAGTCTCTCCCCTGAGCTTCAGGCCAGCGTCACCAACCACCTACTGGACATCTCAAACTGGATGTCCTAGACACAGCTTTAAACTCTGCATGTCCAAAGTGGAACTCATCTTTTCCCCCAAATCCTTCCCTCTTTCAAATGTCCCTGTTCCTGTTGAAGGCACCACTGTCCCTCCCATCTATGAGGTCTATAACCTCAGGGTATCCCAGACTCCTCCCTCACCCTCACCCCACAGATCCAGTCCCTTGCCAAACCCTCCTTACCATGACAACATCTACCACATCCCTTCTCTCTTCTCACCCAACAACTACATTAGTCTGGGCCTCATCCTCTCTTGTTTGCATTATTGCAGCAGTCTCCTCATTGGCCCCCCTGTCTCAAGTCTCTCCTCCCTGCTAAGTTATGTTCCTATATATATATATATATATATATATATATATATCCCCCTACTCACCCAACTCCTGGGGTCTTCCTATTCACTCTAGGATCAAATATGATCTCTTCTGTTGAGCGATTAAAGCCCATCCCTACCCAGACTACCTTCCAAGCCTCAGAAGGCACTGTTCCCCATTCTGAGTTCTGTTATTCAGCCCAACTGACCTTCTTTCTGTTCTTCATATACCACACTCCACCTCCCATCTTTGTACTGGCCATTCCCCAAGCCTGGAATATTCCTCCCTCCTCAACTCCACCTGATGGGTCCTTCTTCCCTAAAGATACAGTTCGGGCACCATCTTGTACAAGAAGTCTTTCCTGATGCCCCCAAAAGCTAGAGCCCACCCCCGAACAACATTGTTTTAACTACCTTGTATATATTTACTTCATATTTATAATAAACATACTTATAGATTTGTATTTGTTATTTCCACATGTGCCTGTAAGCTCTTTGCCAGTAAGGATCATTTCCTGCTTTGGACACCAATCCCCGAAGTTTAGCACATAGTAAGCATTTAACAAATACTTGATTGATTATTCTGGGAGCCCTTCTAGCTATGATCCTGACAAAGTCTCTTCTCACCAGTGGGCCTGGGTTTCCTCTTCTCCAAAATGGGAATAATTCTTCCACTATCTATCTGAGAGGGCTATTGGGAGGAAAGTGCTTTGTGAACTTTCCAGCATGGCAGGAATGGGAGTTATCTGTGCACATTGTCCTAGAAAGAGCTGCCAGAGTGAGGGAAAGCCACGGCCTGGGAATGCAGTTGGACGTGGCCATTGTTGGAGTGTGGCAAGAGGACAAGATTCGGAATCAGATGGCTGGATCGGAACCCCAACTTGGCTACTCACTCCCTGGCTGGACAAGCCATGGCATTGCTAGGGCCTTCTAGAGTTCTAACTCTAAGAAGCAATCAGTCCAAATTAGCTCATAGATGAAAAAGTTATTTTTAAGTACAGCTGCTCTTCTCTAGTTTATCCTAATGCTGGATATTATTATTTATCATAATATTAATTGTATCACAGATTATATTATTACATATAATGATTTATTAAGCATTTTGAAATTATATATATGCATTGCCCCTCTCCCCCCAAGAGCAGCTGGTGTTACCCTGAGATGAGACTGGTGCAAATAGGAGATGACAGAGTAAGTTTTGAGAAATGAACAAAAGAGCAAAATGCTCTTTTTATTCAAAGAAACAAGAGTTCCCTTTGGATGAAGCATCCAGGAAGGCTTCATGGAGGAGGAGAGAGATCTCTTAATTTGTGATAGAGTTGCATGGGCGAGGTAGGATGAGTAGTTGTTTGAAGTTTCTCAGAATCACAGATTTAGAGCTGGGAGGGACCCTAGAGGTCATGGGGTTCAACCCCCTTCTTGTGGGCCCAAAGTCTGTTCTGCTCATCCCCTGGCTTCCCAGACCCAGTCTCTTTGGATTGCAGCAGATGTACAAATGGCATTAACATACAGGTGAGATAAGGGCCCATCTCTGGTCCTCACTTTTTTCTCTCTAATAGAATACCTGCTCTGCTGGGCTCAACGTTTAGTAACATTCACAGTTGTTTTGAGATTTCTGGGACTAGAAGAGATTCACAACCCTGACAGGCTCACAGGATTTTGAATTGCAGGGGACCTAGACCCCATTATTTTACAGGTATGGAACTGAGGCCCAAAGGGCTTCAGTGACTCACCCAAGGTCATACAGGTAGTATGCAGCAAATGGGGATTGGAACTCGGGTCCGGAGTCCCAAGAAAAACTTAGTCACAGTCATAGTGTGGTGAAAGAGAAACCAAGTGAAAAGCCCTTTCCGAACTTGCCTGTTTTAATCAATAGCAGAGATTCTTACTTAAAATGGAACAACCTACCTCTTCAGGTGCAAGTCACTTCTTTGGTGAGCCAGTTTCTTTGTCTTTTTTTTCTTTTTTAATTGGATCTGTCTTCAGCACTCTTCAGTTTGGCTGTCCAGCTTCGGGCTTAAGGTCCCCAGCTGGAATTTTCAGTGAGAGCAGCTTCGTCCCATATGCTCCCTGGAGTGTCCCTGCTGACAAAATCAAATGGGATAAAAAACTTATTTCCCCCAGCGTGTCCCTCCCTTCGGCCCTTCCCCCAGCACTGCGTGTGAAAATGCAAGCCCGTCACCCTGGAGATAGCGCCCCACTCACCAGCGGGAGAAGCATCTGCAGTCGGATGGCAGAGATTTTTAGCAGAGCGGAGCAAGAGGGGAGGGCCTGGCCACCCACACGCATTGCAGCATCCTAATGGATGTTACCTAGCACAGAGAGAACCTGGCAAGGCTCGGCTGCCAGGGGGAAGGAGGGGGCTATTTAAAGAAACACCACCCAGAACCTAATGATGGGGGAAGGGGATCAATAGAATAATGCCACAGAATGGAAGGAAGCGAGGAGTAGATGGAAGGGGGGTGGGGTGACAGATATGAAGAATTAATGGAGCATCTCCTGACAGAGATTTCAAGGAACTAAAATGTTGAGAGAGGAGAAGCCGCCTCCATCTTATTAGGAAATTAGATTAGAGTGAAAGAGAAGAGGGAGGGAATCCCCTCATACCCTCTTCCCTGAAATCAGATAAGTCACTGTTGTCAAAATCGAGCATTTCTTCAAAGCATGTCCTGTGCCTCGGGAGACCCCGGGGATCAGAATCATTTGCTCTCCTCTCTCAGCCTGGAAAGAAGCCAGCAGCCACCACCACTGCCTCCTCATCCTCTGCCCTTTTAATCAACGGCCTTTAAATATTTCTGCCAGCCGAGGCTCTCCCTTGGGGTCTCATTAGCAGTCAGACATCTGCTGTATGTTTCCCCCCAATCCTGTGCCCTCACAAACTGCTCTTTTCCTGATTTTTACCGTAGGGCATCCCTTCTCATCCACCCAGGCCCTTCTGATTCTCAGCGGCTTCTCCAGCCTCTGTTCTCCTGGTGGGCTTTTTCAGATCCACCTCTCCAACCATTTGTGGCAGCGAGGCCTGCATCCGTAGGAGTTTAGGCACTAAGGCCCTTCTGTCTGTACGGGGCTGAAAGGAAGCCTGGGGGCCCCAGTACCAGGAGAGATTCCAGGTCAATGACCGTGCAAGAGGGAGGGTACAGCGTGGGCCCTCATGTAGGAAAGACGGACAGAATCATGCTGAGAGAATGTCCTAGATTGAGGGTGGGTTGGGACCCCCAGATGCCCAGTGCGAATTATGTAGAGGGACTGAGGAGGCTGCATAGACGGCCGAGCATAGATCCCAGATAGATGCCTGCCCACACCAGGGCCAGGGTCATCACGGCCTCAGAAACCGTGGACCGGGAGGCAGGGGCTTCATTGTGTAGATAGTGGGAATTGATGGGGCCCAAGAGCAAAACCTGTAGACAAGCGCAATGGAGCTTTCTGTTGCTTTCTGAAGGCTTAGGTGCGAGTTCTTTCTGTGATCATCATTACCTTAAATAAACTTATGCTATGTTTAATGCTTTTGTTTGCCTGAGTGCTTGCAGGGGAACTCAGGGTCCTTTGACACAAGTCAGATTCTGATGTTCCCAGTGTGAGAAATGATTCATTAAGACCCCTACTTTATTCCAATCAGTATTAATCAGTTTTATATTTTACATAAGTCATGTAGGGATAATTAGATAAGATGGGTTCTTATAGTAGGCCTTTATAATAGGCCTCAAACTTTAATGTGACATTCACTACTTGTTTACCAGTTATGAAACTCCCTTGCACAATCACAAGAACACTGACAAAGACATCTCCATCCTGCTTTACTCACTCCCCTTGCTGTCTGCATCCAAATTCTCTGAGCCTGACGTAAGTCCCCTGTTGGGACAAGGGTGGCCTCCCTGTCTGGGGATGATGAAAGAAAGAGCTACTAAGCTGTGTAAAGTTTGGTTTGAGAATATAAAGTGTTTAGGAACCCTTTATTTGTTCTTTTTTTCTAGGGTTATCATCATTCCGCATCTTGAGAAACTTCCCATCAATGAACTGGCCTTTCTTCAGCCAGCTTTAACCAGCTCTTCTATCCAGGAACTTGTACTGAGTGGGTCGTTTTTTGGAATTTATTTGCCTATCACTTACAAAAACTATGTGATTGTAACTAATTCTCATTGCCCAAAAGCCCTTAAAGAAGTGGGTATGAACTGTGCATTTGTAACCACTAAAGAACCAAAAAGGGGTTTACCAGAGGAATGAAACAAGTAGAAGAAAGAAAGAGTAGTGTTGGGTAAAGAAATGAGAAAAGTTAAGAATGAGAAGGATAAATAAAGTTGGAATCACTGATAGAGCGTAAATTCTGGGTTTGAAGGAAAGGGTTCTGGAGTTTTGAAAAGGAGATTTCAGAGAGGGCTGTAATCCCACTGAAACAGGAAAGATTTGGGTTTTTTTTTTAAGCAATGTCCTTTTGACAGTTGCTACACTCCCCAATCATTGTAATATCTTAAAACAAGTAGGAATTTAACAAATACTATTAACTGATTGCTAGAGAAAAAAGTATCTCTTTGCTCTGGTTTATATAGTTATGCTAAAGGATTAGTAACTTAGAAAATTTAAAGCAACTGATTTGGGTCTTTGGGTAATTCAAAAGAATAAAAAACCAGTAATGGAAAGCTGAAAGTGAATTCTTGGTGAAAGTGTCACCAAGAATTTTTGAACTAGAGCTAACTAAAAAAATGGATCCTTGTTTTAAAAAAATGAGATTTAAGTACCGTCCATAATGATTACAAATCAATAATTGATTGGGTTGAAAATTTTGTTGTAAATGAGAAGAATCTAATCAGTCCTTATACGTACAAAGGGGATACTAAAGATTTATACCTGTCTCCCAGAGTTGTTGGGACAAACACAGTTGGGAGGGGCTTAACACAGTTAACACAGTGGCTTGTATAAAGGATGAGCACTGTGATATTCAGACCTTGTAGGAATGCAGTTGAACAAAAGACGATCCCATTTACAGGTACTTTTTCTAATATGTATGGAATGTTAACAAAATTGAGAAACATAGACTAAACATTTTAAAATATTTCTAAAAACAGACTACAGCAACTTTCACAATGTGGAAAAAGTCTATCAAGAGGTAGGCACTGCATAAATAAACTGCTATGATTAGCATGAAAATGCCAGGGGTAATAAGATAAATGACTTTCAATGAATTGATAAGTATGAAAAGTATTTAACTCAATTATTATCACCCGATTGGTGATGTTTTAAATGCAAAACAGCTAAGAGAAGCTGTTGAAACAAGTTTCTTCCTCTTTTCAATCTGAATACTGTTACATTATAAATATATCTGCTAGATGATTATTAGAGTATATTTTGTTTAAAAAAAAACTAGAAAATAATAATAATAGTAAATGACTTACTGTTGGGAGAGAGGCATGGTGAAGTCCTGAGAAGAGATCGTTGTCCGTGAAGTTCCTTGGGATGAGCCCCCCCCAACAGGGTGCCGGGCCACTCAACAGCACTGCCCTTTGAGGAAGCAGGGCCTCTTCCACCCTAAGTATAGAAATGACACTTCCGAATAAGCGGGTGTCTTTGAGATCATTTGGAAACTCAAGTAATTGTATCTTCTAATGCTATCGTTTTGATTACGGAGACAGAAGTGAAACCATTGTGGCCTAAGGGCTGGATGCAGGCTAGGTAAGAAATTTAGCATCCTAAGCTGTGTATCATCTTGTTCCTTACATTACTTTAAAAAAAATTTTAAAACATTTTGCTAAGAGCCTACTATGTGCTGGGCACTATACACAGCTGATAGAAACACTTAGGCCTCCTATCTTATGAAGTTTATATCCTTAAAGAGATAAGATAGATATAGACATGAGAATGTGGAAATACAAAAAGTTAATTTTTACAAGACACATCTTTTGTGTGTTTTTGTTTTGTCAATAGTAGAGGAAGGTGAACAACAGGGTAAGATTCGAAAGAACAATATAAATTTGGGGAGAGGAACTATTATTAGTTAGTCTAGAAATTCAGTAATAGTAACAATAGAAGGATTATTTATGGGTGGCTACTTTGATATTCACCGTGTATGAGCTCGTGGTGAAGAAGGAGAGACGGCAGCAGTCGGAGGCTGAACGGATCTCTTGGGTCTGGGTGACTGAGGAAGGTAAACCACTCCTCCCCGGTCTCCATGTTTAGTTCATAAGGGCGGCACTGGAGGGATAATAGATTCACATAATCCAGACACCACCCCAGCCTCAAAGTGCATGACAACCATTTACCCAACTTGCGTAGCTTTGAATCAGCTCGAATTTCAAGTCACATCCATTGGTGGCCATCTGCTAGCTTGCACCCCGATGTGAGAACATATAGAAAAAGATGGTCATTGTACCCACGTCAGTCCTTGACCAAGGGTGAACTATTCCCTAGCTCTAAAGCTATGGCTCCCTCTGATACCATAGCTTTCACCAAGGAAATTGTGCCCAGATATGACCCAAGTGTCTACATGGACTCCGATGAGGGGGTCTCATCTCATTGTATTCTAGAAATGGCTTTATCTGAAGACCAATGTGGGTGGGAGCGGGGACATGATGGTTGTGAATAGATGAAATTTGTAAATAGTTGATGGGTGAGGGTCAAGGCTCAAGGAGTAGGTAGGTAAAGGAGTTTCTCCCAACAACTCCATGCAGCCCAGAGGTGAAAGGCGGGCCAGCGAGTCAGGGGAATCCCAGAGGGTGGGTGGGCAGTTGCGGGACTCCAGCTCTCACCTTACTTTGACTTCTTATCACTGGGCCCTTGGCCAGTTGGCTGAAGAAAGGCCAGGTTGTTGGTGGGAAGTTTCTTAAGATACAGAAGGACGATAACTCTAAAAACAGATAACATTTTTACAGCACTTTAAGGTTTCCAAAGCCCTGCACGCGCATTGTTTCATCTGAACCTCCCCACAGCTCTGGGAGGTAGATGCTATTATTATCCCATCTGTACAAATGAGGGAATTGAGGCTCTCCAGAGGGGTCACCTAGTAAGACCACATCGCCCCTCAGGGCAGGGTGATGCCATCATCTCTTGAGATCTGCGATATGATTTGAGGTAGTATCACTTAAAGTCTCAGGTTACTCACCCCGTCCCCCTCCCAAACTCTCCCAGCCCCTGACTAATGGCTGATGCCTGTCTTAGGGTGTGAGACGAAACCCCCTGCAGACTTTGCCTTTTCTCTTCAGGGCAGACCATGACCCAGACTGAACAGTTCTGGGGTTTAAGGTTCCTACACTTATGTGCTAATGAGTTAGCCTTCATTCGTAAAGCAAGTGAATGAATAACCACCCAAAGGCTTCCCTTGCCCTCTCCATCTGCCTAGAGACTTTGGCTGTGCCCTCACTGGGCCATCTCTGCAGCACTAAAGTTTAATCCGGGAGATCTGAACCTCTTGTATGTCCTAGACTTCATTGGCAGTGAGCATGGTGAAGACTATGGTCCCCTTACTTAAAAATGCAAAAAATAACTTCCAGGATTACAAGCAAGCCAATTATATGGAAATACAATGAACAACATATTTAAAGCAAAGAAAGAAAAAGTGAGTTCCCAGATCCCAGGTCAGGGAACTCCTTCCTAGTCTGGATACAATGAGAACTACGGCCAGAGTGCATTTTGTAAATAGACTGTCTCTGTCTGAGGGCTAAAACCTAACTATGTCAGCATAGTTAAATATGGTGGCAGAGAGCAAAGAGAGAGCTGGGACTTGAGTTCTTATGACAGTATGGATTCCAGTAAGCAGGCTTAAAGTTAAATAAAAAGTCCCATAAGAGCAGAGGGTCCTGGGGCATTTTACCCCTGTCTCACTGGAAATGAGTGGCCCGGTCTTTGGAACCCTTGTAAGAGTTTCTTCAGGTGTGCTTGCTGTGGGTGGCAGCACCACCTCACAGGTGGAACCTCTCTCCACCCTCTCTCCATCACAACAGTCCCTTAGCACAGGGAGGGGCCTTTCTTTTGGCCCCTTGGCCACCAGGTGATTTTCCAGGCCCAGAAAGTGTGTGTGTGTGTGTGTGTGTGTGTCTATAGGCTGTAGATGGCCGGACACCAACGTGAGAGCAGGGCCTGCAGAGGCAGGACGATGACGCTCCTGGAGACGGCAGCAGCTGAGGGCATCAGAGGCATGAGATGTTTCTCCTTGACTGTCCCGGTGGCTCATCATCCTTACATTTGTGTCCTCCACACATTCTCTAGGACAACTTAGTTTACTCAGTAAAGGTGCATGCAATTTTGGGAGAGGGTGCCAGGTTTATGGGGAAAATGTTGTTTTGCTATCTTTCTTATGATTCTGTCATATTAAATGCCTCTGTTTTGAAGAGATAGTCACTAATAGCAGACACATTGGCGGGGACTCATTGGCTCTGTTTTTAAAATTTAAAGCAGATTCAGAGCAGCACCATACTTTGAAACTGATACAGCTTTCCTGGGGGCTCTAGGTATAAGAAGAGAGTGTCTCGGGTACTAAATTATTATCACAACCTCCCAAAGGCTCGCCAAAGCCACTGGCCTTTTAAATGAATGAATGAAAGAAGGAATGAATGAAGAGGTGTTTATTAAGTATTTACACTGTGTAAAGCACTGTGCTAGGGACATAAATAGAAAAGTAAACAGTCCCTGTTCTTACTTAAACACTTATGTTGTAATAGGAGAAATAACACAGATATGGGCTGCAAGTTGGATGGAAAGGACCGGTCACCCGCAAGGTAGGGAAAAGCATACGGGAATTGTTATAAAGATGACCCCAGAATCAGTTCCGAAGACTGGTGTCTCAAAGACTTTTTATTAAAGAGGTTGAAGTGCATCATTTTGATTCTTGAGAAAAGTGAGTGCACTTCCTTGGGGGGAGAGAAATGCACGCAGTAAAAGAAGCCAGAGCAAGCTTTATAGTTAGTAATTGGTCCTAATCCTTCTGGGTTACAATCTTCCTTATATGCCCCTTAACATACATTATATGCCTAGAATTGTGTTATCACTCCCCCCCCACCCCGGAAGTTAGCCTGTCTGTGCTGATTTCTTATCTACTTCTGTGGAAACAACTCTTTCATTTCTCACAGAATACATCTTGAGTCTCATTTGCATGGATGAAACTATATGTGTTGATGCCCTTCATTTTAGAGATAAACTGAGGACCAGAGAGGTTATTTGCCCAAGGCCACTTGTAGGCAGAATTTTAACCCAGGTCTTTGGCCTCCATCAGAGTGATGGTACAGCCTCCAGGATTATCTCTCCTCACCTCCTGAAGTCACCCCTGCTCTCCTCTCAGAAGGCTGGCACACAGAGCTGCCCCCACCCTCGTGCCCCCAGAGACACTCCCCTGAGACGACCTGGTTTGCAGAAAGCCTTCAGGACTACAGTTTGTTCTATCAAGTCAAATGCCTTGTATACAGTAAGAGCTTAATAAAAGCTCTCCTCCTATTCCTCCTTTTCATAGGTAACTCTCTCCTCACTTCCACCTTCTGGAGTCCCTAGCTTTCTTCCAAGCCCAGCTCACAGGCCACCACCTATTCCAGGCCTGTCTTGGTCCTCACCCCTGCCCCCCCCACCCCCAAATGACTTTGTACTTATTCTGCATCTGCTTTGCCCATACTTACCTGTGTACCAGTCATTCAGCCCCAGTAAAATGTAAAACACTGGAGGGCAGGGACTGTTTCAGTTGTCTTTGACAGTGACTTGTCCCCATTGCCTTGCACAGTGCCTGGATCGTAGTAGGTATTTAATAAATGATGACAAATTGAATTATTCCTCTTAGATATAAGAAGTAAAACAATTCTCAAGTTGTCGTTCAGGTCTGATCAGATTGCAGGGTAAAACAGCCATTTCAATCAACTATTGTAGCGTGATGGACTTTGGGTCAGAGGGGACCTGGGTTTGAATCTCACCACCAACACTTATTAGCTGTTTGACCGTGAGCAAGTCGCCATTGGGAAATGGAGTGGCACCCTCTCTTCAGTGATGAACCTTCTCCTCCCCCATCATGCCCTTCACATCCCAGTGACGCTCAGCTCCTACAGAGCATCTCCAAGCCCTGTTCTCCACCCCTCCATCACCCACTTCTTTATTCCCATCCTCCTCAACACCCCCACCCCAAAGTTTCAACCAAATGCCACCCAGTCCTTCTATTGTGCCCTCTGTAATGCACATTCCATAGGTGACAAGCTTCCCTTCATCTCAAATAATTTCCTTTCCCACTTTTTCCATCTATTAGTCCTTACTGAAACCTGACTCCCCTCCAATGACCCAGCCTGCCTACCCACCCATGGAGAGTACAGAGGCAGACGGTACAGGGATAGCTGGGAGAATCGGGTGGGAGAGGGAGGCAGATGGCTCAGGGAAGAGATGGGAGAGGGAGAAAGGCACATAGAGCGCTTAGGTGACTTGGATTGAAGCTGGCAGTGCTCCAGGGGTAGGGTCTGGGGTACCATTCTGGTAGGATCCTGGTAGGGGAGGATGGTTCATCGGTTTGACCTTTGAGTTCACTCATTACATATCAGTCATTTCAAAGTTATCAGTCCCACCTGAAGAATACCTAAGCACAATGTTTCTCT